ACAGCGCTGTCCCCAGATTCTGGCACAGAAGAGGCACACAAATTCTCAAAAACAGTTGGCTGAGTGAACAGCAGTTCAAAACCAGCTGTTTCGCAGGGGGAAAATGAGGCTTTTTATTTTTGTGATGAATTACAGTCTCAGAAACCCTCAGGGGCAGTTCTACTCTGTCTTATAGGGTCTCTATCTCTGTGTTGAGCAATTAATCAGAGAAGCTGGCTATGAAGAAGAGTGTGGCACCAGGATCGAAGGAAGGCTTATTAACAACCTGTAACATGCAGATAACCTGTAATATGCAGATGACACAACCTTGCTTGCTGAAAGTGAGAAGGACGTGAAGCCCTTGCTGATGAAGATCAAGGATTGCAGTCTTCAGTATGGATTACAACTCACTGTAAGGAAGACCCAAATCTTCACAATGAGACCAATAGGTAACATCATGATAAATTGAGATCAAAGACTGAAGTTGTCAAGGATTTCGTCTTTCTTAGATCCACAATCACTGCTCATGGAAGCAATAGTCAGGAGATCAAAAGACACATTACATTGTGTAAATCTCCTGCACAAGACCTCTTTGAAGTGTTGAAAAGCGAAGATGTAATTTTGAGGACAGGTGTGCCCAGTCCAAGCCATGGTATTTTCAATCGCCTCTTATGCACGTGAAAGTTGGACCTGAATACGGGAGACCAAAGAAGAATCGGTGCATTTGAATTGCGGCGCTGGCCAAGAATATTGAAAGTACCACGGACTGTCAAAAGAACAAACAAACCTGTCCTGGGAGAAATACAGCCAGAATGTTCCCTAGAGGCAACGATGATGAGACTTTGTCTCAGTACTTTGGACACATTATCAGGAGATCAGTCCCCAGAGAAGGACGTCATGCTCGGTAAAGCAGCAAAAGCGGAGGAAGGCCTTCAATGAGGTGGATCGACCCAGTCGCAGCAACAATGGGTCGCAACCTAAGAACAATTGCAAGGCTGGACCAGGGGCGTTTTGTTCCATTGTCCACAGACGCCTTGTGAGTTGCAACTGACCTGATGGCACCTCACAACCACAAGGAGTCCGAATCAACTGGGTGGCAGTGACGGTGGTTTTGAGTTTTGGAGGTGAGCCATCCTATAATAAAGTTCTAAAGAATAAACGAAGTGAAAATTCCCTTCCCACATGGCCCACATCAGGCCGTGGACCCCAGGGAACATTTTCAGCAATTACCTGGGGTTAGAAGGCTCCAGGAGATTGGGGTCATTTTATTTCTATCACACCCAGGCCAAAACCTTAGACCACCCACATCTCTGCCCTACATCTGCAGGACCCAGGAGATTTCTGCCCGCCCTCCCGCCCGCCCTTCTGGGTTACTTGGTGACCTGCTAACCACAAGGTCAGCACTTTGAAACCACCAAAAAGATGAGGCTTTCGACTGTAAAATTAGTTACAGTCTTGGAAACCCACAGCGGGGCAGTTCTACGCTGCCCTATACTATAAAGTTGGAGGAGTCAGAGTCGCCTCAATGCAGGTGAGGTTGGTTTTGGATCCATGTGAGACCCAAGCGACGGCAGCAACTTGAAAGATTAGACAGGGACCTTGGGGGGCTATGGATTTTCCCCAAAGGGAGAGGAATAACTCAAAACTGGAGGATGAGGGTCGTAGCACAGTTTAAAGAATGTAATCAATGTCACTAAATGGTACATGCAGAAACGATTGGATTGGTGTATTTTGCTGTGTGTACTCTCAAAAACAGCACAAACATTGTTTTGAAAAAGAAGAAATCGCGGGTCTGGGTGTCTGAGAACAAGTCCTAGAAAAGTGGAACAGAAGGGGGGCCGGGTAAACTCCCTGGAGCTCTGCAGCCCACCAGCCCTGATTCTCTGGCCCCCAGGCTCACTCTCCCACTTCCTGCACGCCCGCCCTCCTGCCGCTGGAAAGCTGCCTGCTCCCACTGGCCAGGGGACCTTGATCGACCTCCAGAAGCCCGCGGTGGGGGCAAGGCTTTTCCTTCCCTGGAGAGGCTCTAGGAGGCCTGGCGGCGCAGTGGTTTCGCCTTGGGCAGTTCACGGCGAAGTCCGCGGTGCAGAAACCAGCAGCCGTTCCGTGGCAGAAATGACAGCGCTTTCTACTCCCAAAAGAGTCTCGGACGCGCACAGGGTCACCACGCGCCCCCGTCGACTCGATGGCAGTGACTTTGTGTTTGTTTGAGAGACACTCGGGTCATTCCACGCCCCTTCCCTAGCCAGGCTCCAGGTGAGCCTCTGAATCCACAGGACGCCCAAGGGCTGCCCACCCGGCCGTGGCTCCTCTCCTCGCGCCGGAGGTGGGAAACGAACTGGCAGCCTTACAGAGCGTGCACTTTGTCTGCGTCTCTGGTGGCCCGGGGCGAGATGCCGGAGGAGCTGGCGCGTGGAAAGGCGCGGAAACCCACCACTGCTGACTCTTCCCACCAAATGGAGGCCAGGCCAGGTGTAGGATGGGGTGACGGGGACACAACCTCCACCCCACAGCCCCCGCCCATGCGTGCCCGCCCAGGGCCGTTTTCCCAGGGACAGAGGAAGTTCCAGGTCCACAAAGGGCTGGCAGGCCTGGGCTTCCTCAGTGAAGAGGAAGCCCAGTAGTCAGGGAAGGAAATGGCCTTCAGGGGGCCGCCAGCATCCCCACTAGAGGCCCCGTGCGGATGTTTTTATTTGGAACCGCCCGCAGGGACTTTGCAACTGAAACTGAGAGACAGTGATGAATCTGAGAACGAAGAGGACAGGCAGGGAAGGGCCACCAGCGCCTGGGGGCAGCCAGAAAGGGGTCACCGAAGCGGTCACGTTTGACCAGGGTCTTGCAGCATGAGTAGGAGTTTGCAAGGAAAAAGCTCGCTGGGAGGTAGCATGGAATTGTGCCTGAAGTAGAGGATCCAAGGGTGGGGAAAGAGGGGTGTGGCGTGCAGGGTGGGCTTAGAGGGCCCGCCATGTGCAGGACCAGCCTGGGCTGGGCGCGGGCTCTCGTGGGCGGAGGCGCTGGACGTGCAGTCACCGCGAGGGCCTCCTGGCCGGGCACGTGTCGGCCGGGCTGAGAAGGGGCGGGGCGGAAACCGCACGGCGGCGGGAGGGCAGGTCCAGCCCCCGGGCCTTCCACGCTGCAGGCAGGCGCCCACGGAGCGGCTCCGAGCCAGGTAGGACGGCGCGGACCGGGCCGGGCCGGAGACCAGCGGGAGCTCGCGGGCCGCTGCCCTGCCCGGCTTCCGGGGTGGCAGGCCGCCCGGGTGGGGGGCGCTAGAATCACCGCGCCTGCTGCGGGGCTACAGAGACCAGCGCCCCTTCCTGGAAGGGCCTTAGGGGCCCAGCTTCCCCCACCGTCCCCACCGCGGCCGCACCTGCGATTCTCGTGGGAAAACGGGAACCGGCCCCTGGGACTTGTGGGGGATCCTGGGGCGCGTTCTCCAGGCGGGGGCGGGGCGCGGGGCCGAGCCCCGGGGAGGGGCGCGCTGGGCAGGGCTTCGTTCTGGGCTTTGGGGGGCCCAGATGTCCGCCGGGGGCGGTGGGGTTGCAGCGCTCGACGTGTGGACCCCCGCCCCCCCCCCCAGGTGCGGGTCCCCAGCAAGTCTCCCTCTGACAGGAGCTGGCCCGCCCACCACCTTCGGACTCCGTGGGGCCCAGACGAGTCCCGGGAGCCCCCAGCCCCCCAGCCCCCCTCGCCGTGCTGTGTGCGGACCCGGCCCTGCCTGCAGCAGGAGGGGAGGTCGAGGCTGCCCAGACCCAGGACTGGCCATGGGGTCAGACAAGCACTTAGTGTTGGGGTTCTTCTGGCCACCGCATGCGTCGGCAAACATTGAAGGTGGCAATCTGCTGGGACTTCGGGATTGCAGATACGGGATCGTGGGCCGGCGACAACTGTGGCAGTGGGTGGTGGTAGTCAACTTGGGCTCAGCCAGCCTCGCCTCCCCACCTGCCTGCACTGTCTCCCTTGGCAATGCTCGCCCGCCTTAAAGGGCTGGGGCTGCTGCGCCGGCGCCTGCTTCCTGCCTCTCCGGGATCCTCCTCTGGGGGCCTGGCAAGGGGAGCAGCCGCACACCGCCCCACTCACCCCTGCACACGCCAGCAGGCTCTGCTTTGATTGTGCGGAAGGACTAGATGACTCACCCTTCGTGCCAAATTAAGGAGTCTGTTCCCAAATAACGCACTTTGCTGAATTTGGCTTACTTATGCTGTTTCATTCTTTCTTTTTTTTTTCCTTCTCAGGGTGTTATTCTTGTAAGCTGAAGTCATGTGCTGCTTTTAAAAATTCGCAGAGAACAACACGATTAGAATGACAGATTTTATCATTCAAATGTACAAGTTCGTGCTTGTGTACCTAATTTCTGTTCCTGAGCAGTGCACATGGTTTAAGTCATTCGCACACAGGACGATGTGCACACAGAGGGCACCCATTCATACACACCGAACCCACATCGGCTCACACCCACACCACGCAGGTGCGGACTGCAGAAGCACACGCACGAGAGCACGCACATTGCACAGTACTGGATTTGCATACACGAGAGATGCGGAGCGCCAGCTAATATGCACATAGACACTGCATGATGCACCCAACCCTGCACTCACACACTGCAGTGCACATCTAGTCACTGTGCACGTGCGCGCTGCACATTTCCTGCAGGCGCACTGATGGCGGAGCCTGTGGTGGCCCTTCCCCTGGGCAGGGTGTAAATGCTGACAGAATGGTTATTTTGAAAGAAATCTTTTCCCAAGTTTGGGACACAGCGAATCTGATGACTGATCTGAACTGTTTTCCACCAAAGGCATATTTTGAATTGTCCTTCTGCCAGTTGTTTCTGAACGTCTGCCTTTTTTCCAACCCTGTGCGAGATGCCCAGCTGGTGTGGTGCCCCATGTTCCACCCTCCACTGTGCACCATGGCGTTACCTCACACCTCTCTGTGGGTCTCTTGGTCACCTTGGGCAGAGGGAAAGGAGTGACCCCCCACCCCGAGGTCCACTGTTCTAACCCTGGCCTCTCCCTCAGGTGGAGATGCAGCTGCTTCTGCTAGCACCCCTGCTGCTGGCCCCGCTGCTTGGGCGCTCGGTGAGTGCGATGGACCCCCGGGGGACCTGTTGGAGGAAGTGAGGAGGAGCTGGCCGCCCTGGTGGTTGGGCAGGCTGGGAAGCAGGGGAGAACGCCTTGGAGAAGGTGTGGGGCTGGAGAGCAGCTGCCCATGGCAGTCTGGAGCCAGTGGGGGCAACATTCCCAGGAGAAGAGCAGCGTTGGGCAAGATGGGGTTGGAGGAGGTGAGCCTCAGCCCCGGCCAAGGTGGCCTGAACTGCAGGGATGGCACCTCTACCTCCTTCCCCCCCGGAATGTGGGTGCTTTAAGAACCGCCCTCCCCCGTGAGTGTTCCAAGTGTGGGTGCAGGGGATTTGGGGACCAGCCAGAGTGCAGGCCTAGCTGGCCCACCCCACACCTGCATGGGACCAAATATGGCTGTCCCCTTAGCCAGACTGTGCTTGGGCCTAGAGCAGCGGTTCTCAACTTGTGGGTGGAACGACCCTTTCACAGGGGTTGCCTGATTCATAACAGTACCAAAATGACAGTGATGAAGGAGCAACAATAATTTTATGGTTGGGGTCACCACAACATGGGGAACTGTATTAGGGTTGTGGCATTAGGAAGGTTGAGAAACACTAATCTAGAGCAAGATTGCCCAACAGAACTTCCTGAGCTGATGGAATGTGCTGTCCAGCCCGATAGCCACTAGGGCCCTGTGGCCATCGAGGACTTCAAATGTGGCCAGTCAACTGAGGGACTGAGTTTTTTGTTTGCTTTTAATTCAAGTTTAAATCGCCACCTGTGGCCAATGGTTATTGTATTAGTGCAAATATAAGCAGGCAGCCAACTGGTAAGCAGAAGAAGCATTCTTTAACGGGGGCCCAAAGGAAGGGAGGGCTCCCTGGACATCTGATGGGCGCGAGGACATGGGGCCTTCTAGATTGCAGCACCAACTTCTTTTTAAAAAGAGTGTTATTGGCATATATTCCCGTATCATACAATGTATCTGGTCAGAAGATTTGTGCAACCACCACCATCAGTGTCAGAATATCTTCTTCTTACACTTGTTGGTAGCTCATTTGCCCCCATCCTCCTGGCCATGCCCCCAATGATCAATTCAGTTACTATCATATAGATCGATCTCTCCTGGATTTCATATACAGAAAATTGCACAAACCGTGAACAGGAACCAAGCAAATGAACAAACAGAAACCCAACATGAATGACTGGGCACAACATAAAAAACAAAACAACCCTCAGTCAAAAAGAAAGCAGAAAATGTTAAAAATCGAAACAGCTTTAAAATGGACTCAGAGGGAGATCAAATGACAAGGTAGTATTCCATTTTACCCAGTGACACCTGCCATAGTCGATGTTGCAGTGCTGTCTGATAGCCTTGCTGTCTGGTCAGAGGGGTGTCCCCATGTGGGGACTCTGCAAAGGAATTTGAGTTTCCATTGTCATTCATAGCCTTCGGTATCTGACCAGGTGGTCAAACACAATTTGATTTAGATTTTATTTAGAAAGGATTTAGAATTTATTATTTCCAATCCTTGGCACCACGTAGGCTGGTGTGCTTCTTCCATGTGGACTTAGTTGACACCTCATGTCGATGGCTGCTTGTGTGAAGACAAGCCCTTCAGACTCCAGGTGAGATTCTGATAGCTGCCGCTGTCTGCTTTCTTCAGCACAGTTTACTTAAGGGATCTCTTCATGGGGGAGGGAGGCGTGCGAGCATTGGGCAGGGCCACATGAGCACTAATTGTACTTAGACTGTGGCTAGAATTACATGCGAGCCCCAATCCATTCATAGATCTGTGGTTTATGTATGTCTCTGGTTCGCTTTAGAGACATCATCATGATTTTATAATAGAGACCATTATAAATCATCGCCCCACCCCCTCCCTGAGGCATAAGGTAATTCTATTGACAGTGTCATTAATTTAGCCAATGGTATAGAATTTAACACACAGTTGAGAAGAGATAGTTATACAAGTATAGCTGGCTTCAGATCACAATACATGTTGATTTGTACAGATTAAACCCTTAAGTGACTGGACACTATTTACAAAAACAGTGGGGGTCGGTGATCAGGCAAAACTTTCAATAACACTCATTCACAAAGGCAGAACCATGCCTAACAGATTAATACATGTCATAAGCAAGGTGGCATAAAAATAGCAAATATATGGTAGTCCCGGGTCACCATTCATTAGACACTCTCAAAGCAAGAGATTCGAACCAATGACCAGTGCTGACCACAGAACAGCAGACAGCTGCTTCTCACACTAGGGCATTTCAGCCTGAAGTACAAGCGGGCATGTCAGTTCCTTAAATCTGCTGCAGGTGAGTTTGAGGTAAAGCCCAGGTCACTGAGTGGGGTTTTCAATCAAATCCTTCTGGGTTGGTCTACAAAGGATGCTGTGGGCCTCAAAGGAATAATCGAAAGTCCCAGTAGTCTATAGCCCACAACCCTGGGTCACTAAGGACCAACTTCTGGCAAGGTGAGGGTCTGCAGAAATGGGTGCTGCTCGACTTGGTGCCTGGGGGCTCCTTTGAGCATTGGCAAAAAAGTAGAAGGCACAAAGGCAGCCAGGCTCCGTGCCCTGCGGGTGTTCTCCCACGGGAGACCCACAGTTCTGCCCACCTTTCTGAGAGGCAGGCAGGAGGGAGAGAGGAGGGACCAAGAGTTTGCTGCTCTGGAAATGCCACCGGTGGAAATGGGAGCCTAGGACGAGGATGAGGAGGGCCAGGGGACCAGGGCTGCTGTGGACATTCCCCAGAGATCCTTGTGGGGGTACAGGGCTCTTCCTCACATCCCCACCTGGCTGCCTCCCCAGGTGCCCTGAGTGCCCCCTTTCCCAGGTTCCTTGCTACACACCCTTCCTCTCGCTGCCCAGCTGCTGACCACTGCGCCTTGAGAGTGTGGAGACCCTGGGATGAGGTCGCACGGCCCTACAATTCTGAGTCTCAGGCCGCTTTAATCTGCAGATTATAGGGCCCATGGGTTTGCCCTGCAATCGCTGCCTGCAAAGCACCTGGGTTTTGTTAGCTCCTTTGTTCTTTTGAAACACCCTGAGGAGACTTCTCTGTGTGCTCCTGGCAAAACCTGGGTTGAGAGGTCCCCTGTGCACCCCCCACCACACACACACACACACACCTGGGTTGAGGGATCCCCTGTGCACCCATCCACACCCCCCCCCCCCACACACACACACACACACACGCGCGTGCACGCACGCCCTGCTGTGGAGGCAGTATGGCCCAGGCTCCCAGACAGCGGCCTCTCGGGTTCCGTTTCTGGTTCTGGGTTCCCGTTACTGGTTCTCAGTGGGGCAGGAGCCCCGGCTGAGTTGAGAACACCTTCTCTTGGAAACCTTTCTGCTGACAGGACAGAATGGAGGGGTGATTAACGAGATCACAAAGCAAAGGCATGCCCCCTGATTGGCAGGCTTGCCAGGGCGATGCTTCCGGAGATTGGCCTAGGAGGTCCCACTGCGTGGACACCAGCACCCAGCCACACACATTGTGTGAGTCCCCTGGGAACAGCTCAAGCTGGAAAGGGGGCTCCAAGTTGCTCCAGGTGGGGGCTGCAGGAGAAGGGGTAGGGTGGGGTGTTTTGTTCTCTCGCGTGCAAACAGAGCAGCAAGAGGCAGGTGAGAACAGGCCCGGCTGAGGTTGGGATAGACCCACTCCTTATGTCTTCTCACACAATGGGTGCCCTTCATGGTCCTGCTAATTACAGGGAAGCTCGATGGAATGTTGTCTTGTCTCGGAGAGAGAGTGTGGTATAGTCCACAGCAGTCAGGGTCAGGTAGGTCGCTCCCCTGGTGGGTGCCCCCAGCAAGAGGATGCTTGGGTCACAGTTTGCCAGGCACATGAAACGAGATGTTTGTAAGGCCCCGTGGGCAGGCCAGGCCAGGCCTCCTCCCTACCTCTCCACCCATGGCCACAAAACGACTCAGGGGCAGGGGTGTCCCTTGTGGCCTGGGCCATACCAGTAAGCCCAGGGCAGACCCGAGGAAGAGTGGTGTGGGGAGACTCACCCTGTGCCCCAGGAGCGGAGACTGACATCTAAGCTAAGGTGACCAGACCTCCCGATTTTTATCAAATTGTCCTGTGTCCCGCAGTGTTTTAAAAAAGTCCCGATTTTGGGAAAGAATGCACAAGCTAGGGTATACAGTTTTCAGCTGCCGTGTGGCTATTTCGCCAGGATGTGAGTTCTATCAATGGTGTCCCGCTTTACCAATGTTAAAATCTGGTCACCTTAATCTAAGTAGACCTTGGTCAGTGGCTATTTAGTAATGAGGCCCCACCCCTTGAGGGCTGTTTCCTGATATAATGTGATGAGAATTTGGGGTGCGGGACCCTGGAATCCAAGCCTGGACTGTTGGCTATCTTTAGGAAAGCCACTCCTCACCCCTCACACATCCCATTTCTTTTCAAAACAGAAAGCGGATCCAAGTGCATTTCGGTTTAAATTTGGGTGAGAGACTGTCAATATTCCGGTTCACTGGTTTCCCACAGCTTGGAAATTTTGCCCCGGTTTGAAGGGAAGGAGTAGATGATTCTAAAAGTGGAAACTAAGACCTTTGGACTGGCCGCCTTTCTCCTGTGCTTTGTGGCTGGCTCAGCGAGTTTTGAGTGGTTTGTCCCAAGCCAGGGTTTATACAAGAGCAACCGTGCGCGTGCAGTCGGGACTGTCAGAAACGAGCACTGCCCAACTGGGGGCGGGCAAGGAAGCCTGGCTCCTCCCCACCCGAGTCCCGAGTCCCGAGAGGCTCCCAGCAGACTGTGGAAGGGAGAGCTTGCTTTTCCATTTTAGGACTTGAGTTCTTTCTCTGGAAAATGGGAGTGATTCTTCCAAGAGATTGTTGGTGACACCTTCGCCTCCTGGTAAAGTGTGCAGTCCAGCCGGACACCTGTCCTTAGCTCTCCTCCTGGGTGTCCTTTGACGCTCGCCTCCCTCAGCCAAGAGCGGACGGGAGATAACTCCAACCTGCCATTGTCTCCCACTGGCTCTGTGTGAGGTCCTCAGTCTTCCGTATCCAGGTAACAGGATTCATCAGCTTGTTCTGAGTATTGAGAGAACGTGCTGATGGTACCAGCTGCAAGGTGTCAGTGCTTCCTGGCAGGAAATGGAAAAGATTCAGTTCGGACCCTAATCTCATGAGAAAGCCCTGAATCACAGTGCTTCCACAAGACCAACTTGATTCATCCCTTATGCAACACCCTTAGATAGGAAGTCCACAGATGTCCTGTGTCCCAGGCCTGCCTTCCAGGCTCTAGGATCCTTCTATCATTGCTGCGTTGTCTTAAAATTACCGCCTGGTCTAGAAGGCTGCTCCAACTCCAGCCATCACTTCTACTATCCAGCTGGCAGGAAGTAAGCAGGAGCAAGAAGGAAAGGGGGGCAGGCTATCTTTGAAGGAACCTCCCCAGAGGTAGCTGCTCAACCCTTGGATTTAAACCAGAGCTTACTGACGTAGCCGGACTTAACTGGGCAACACGCTTTTTATGTTGTATAGTCTAACGTTCTCACACGAAGGGGAGGATGGCTATTGGTGAACCCCTAGAATCCTTGCCACAGGTTGGAAGGAAGTGACCATGACCCTCGCCCCTCCCCCCCACCAAGTAATTAGATCAGGTGCCTCTTTTAACAGGCTAGAGCTGCAGCAAACTCCGGAAGTGAGGTCACCACAGGGCAAAGCAAGTGCAGCAACGTTCCCGTGTGCTGTTCCACAGCAGACCACCCTGGCGAAGCATGGGGCTGCCCACCCAGGGGCACGCTTGCCGCATCTCTATTCTCAGACTCCGCACCAGTCAGGAGGTCGTCTCAGGGGAGAAATTCTTGGCCTCCTTGCCTCCGCCTTAACCGTTCCTCCACGGAGCCTGGCAGACAGCAGGAGCTAGTGCAGGGGGTGGCTGCTCCTCCCGGTAAGGCAGGTGGTTTACTTAAGGCAGAGACCTGTAAACAGGGACAGGGCCCACCTCTCCTCTGGGAGTCAGGCACTCTCTGAGGGGGAGGCCCAGCCCTAAGTTGCCTCCCTTCCTTCTTGAAAGACCTCCCTCCCCTATATCAATGTTGGCCTCCAAATGCTTGGACCCTCTAACTGCCTCTGACTGCAGGGCCCCTGCCCCCAGGTGGCCCCTGGAACTTCAGACTTTCCCCAGGTGCCTCAGCTCTTTGGGGATAGGCCTATAGTCTGGAAATGAATGCGTTCTGGAGGGCAGGCTCTTAGTGGGGAGTCCCAGGATCCTGTGCGGTACAAGCCTGATCGGGCAGGACCTCCAGTGACCCTTGGATGACCTTGAGGGCCACGGTGCCCCCAGCGGGCCTGGGTAGAAGCGGTGATGCTGACTGGTTCTCCTCCAGGCCCAGAAGGAGAGGCGGCCCAGGCGGCAGAGCACAGTGTGGGGCCCCTGGGGCGAGTGGAACCCCTGCAGCCGGACCTGCGGAGGGGGCATCAGCTTCCGGGAGCGTCCCTGCTACTCCCACAGGTAGGGAAAGTTCAAATGGGTCAGAAGGAGCTGACCCCTGGGTCAGATCAGGTGTCATTGGCCACACGGGCGGAAACCACCAAGGGAACAGGTTCATTCTGGAAGCATTTGAAATAAGGCCCATTCCCGGTGCGAACATGTGGGTTTTATGATTCACCTTGTTTCGGTTTCGGTCATCGCCCTTCTGCGGTGCCTGGGACCGGGAGGGGGCAGGACGTTCTTGGGGACGGAATAGGTCCTCTTCAGCTGGCACTTATAAGGCTTGCCGTGGGTTCTTGGCCCTCAGCCTCTTTGTCAGGTGGGGGAGGGCTCATTGAGCACCTGTGTGCCCCGCCTGGTGGGGTGATAAAGGGGTGATAAATGTGCCCAGCTGGTGGGAGGCGTGGTAACGCGCGTTGCTCAGGAGGTCCTGTAAGGAGGAGGAGGAGAGATAAGCGCTGCCCCGCTCAGGTGCAGAACAACCTCACTCAGTGGGTCTGTGTAGCGTTTTCTCTCTCAGGACAGGTAGCATTTGAGTCTTCTCTGGACACAGTTTTAAGAGGCCGAGTGGTTTGGAGTTAAGCAACTTCTCTTTTAGTTGAACTTGTGGGTTCCAGTCCCCGAGATAAACGCGAGGAGGTTGGCGCTGGGTTTGGCAGTGGACTGCCGAGATGTCTCAGAAACCCCATACAAACCCTATTCCAAACATGGTTGCCGTGTGTTGGAATTGACTTGAGGGGCCCCGAACACCGGCAGCTGAGGCTGGCTGCGCTGGTAAAGCTTTACCGCCTTGGACATCCTACCGGTAGTTCAACTCTGTCTCTTGGGTCGTTAGGAGTCGGAATTGGATTGCGGGCAGTGGGATTGAAGGATTTAAAGGAGCGCTGGTATAGACATGGCGAAATGCTAGGCTGCCCGTTGAAGGGTCAGGTGGGACCCCAACCAGCCGCGGACAATATGCTCTCATTAAGACCAGTCGCTGACTCATCCAGTGGGCTCTGACTCCTGGGACATTAGAAAGTCCCCGCAGGGTTTCCTAGGCTGTGATGTGTATGGGAGGGTCTTTCCTCTGCAGGGTGGGCCCCAACGATCAGCCTTTTGTTGGCAGCCCAGTGTTTAACCATGGTACCTCCAGGACTTCTTCCCAGGAAAGGCGACAGTTTAGGAAAGCCTATGCTACGGCCCCAAGAGTCAGGTGGGGTAATGGTTACCACTGGGCTGCTAATTCCGAGGTCAGCTGTTTGAAACCCCCAACCATTCTGCAGGAGAAGGCTGGGGGAGAGGAGGGGTGCGTTATGCTATCTAGTGCAGTAACGAGTTAGTCTTGGGAACCCATGGGGGCAGTTCTACCCTGTCCCACAGGGTCGTTATGAGTTGGCATTGGCTCCTTGCAGTGGGTTTGGGGCATGACTCGGAATGCCACAGGACCAAACCACCTAACAAAGGAGATTTTTGGAATGCCCCCGTCAGGGTGGCCCACACGAGAGGAGGAGCGGCTTTGTGGCGGGAGGTGGAAAGCTGTGCTCCTCCCCACCTCCCCCCATCTGGTCCTGCAGGCAAGATGGAGCAGCCGGCTGCGTGGGCCCTGTCCGGACCCACCGCACCTGCAGCACAGAGGTATATCGATATGCGTGGCCCAGCCTCCCCGCACAGCTTTAGATGGCTAAAGCCCCCCTCCCCCTCCCTCCCCCTCCTCCCTCTCCCCCTCCTCCCCCACAGCTGCTAAGAGGAGCACTTTTCTGATGGGACCCTGGAGCTGCAGACAGGTGAGATGGCTTCTCTGGGCCTGGGAGGGTCCGGTTTGACCCTGGGAGCTCTGGCTGCTGAGACAGGAGTGTCCAGGGGAGTC